CAGCTCTACACCTTGTTATCTCAGATTCTCCAGCATCTGCAGTTCCTACTATCTCTATTGAAAAATGAGTTGTTTTTGTAAATAAATCGACAATTCATTCCAGAACATGGACAAAAGAAGTTTAAGGAATGCAGGGCTGCCATATTATTTACTATTCTAAATTACTTAACTAACTGATTTCATAGAACAGGTTATCTTTGATAGGCTTGTGTGGGATATAAGCACTGGCATGGACCTAGTGGATTTATTGGCTTGTTTCTTTGCTTTAATTACAACAAATTACTTCTTTTGAGAAAAAAGCGTGATGTAATGTTTTAGTATCTGTGAAGTTTCCATCAGTATGCATTAAAATGTGCCATTTTGACTAACTAGAAGAAACATTGAAAAACTTTTGGCAATTGCAAGCTTTTCTGACTTTGTTTCCACAGGATGTGTGACTGCCTGCTGCAGAATTTCCTCATCACAATTCACTACTGCTCACAAGCTCAAACCATTTGGGGTTCAGCTTATAGGATGTATCTTTTGGCAGCACACCTCCTGCTGTGTTGTCCATCCGGCTGTTGTTGGACCATCTTACCCTGTACCCAAGGTACGCAGTTATTGACTTACAGTATTATTCTTTCAACAAGACTCCCTGCTGAGTTTTGTGATTACCTGTAAGAGAGGTTAAGGTGAAATGAGAGCTGTGACAAGTTAAGCAGAAATAATGAAGAAGACTCTATGTAATTGTGGATAAGGTCAAAGGAGGGTGCAGAACTGAGATATACAGCAGAAGTAGTGGATTTTATAACATTTACGTGCTTTAAAGAAAATGTTGTGGAGTACAAAATTGAATTAACATTTTCTCATTATTAAATTTCATGTATTTAAATTTAAGCAGTTATTGGGTTAAAAAAAAGTATAGCTTTGCCATATTAGGCAGTTAATGATGATGTTTATGATATGGAGCTTAATTACGCACAGCACTTTTGTAGGTCAATAAGTGGTTGAAATAAATGCTGAAACCAGCTCATAAAACTACAACTTGACATACAACATAGTATGAAAAGATATTTCTGTCAAGGCTACGTGGTAAACTTTACCTGTCAAAATATTTAGTGTATTTCATTGATTTGGGCAAATTTCTTTAACAATAAGTAATATCCATGTCTATGAAAGGTCCTGGCTTCAGTACAACTTAGGCCTTTGAGCTAAAAAGCCGAGGCATGCTTTCATGTTTAGGTATTTGCATTCTATGGATTATACTGACAATGAATTATTCATTTTGCCAAAAGGAAATGTAGACTAAAAGAAGACCATGTGCTCCATCAAAATTAATAAAGGTTGCTCAGATTTTTTTAGTTGGTAAACCGACAATTCCTTTTAAACAAAACTCAGTAATTTCAGCCCTAAATTTACTACATTAGAGTGGTTCAATCAGGGGCTACAAAACAGCAAGCTGCTACTCGATTTAGTCCTTTGAGTTAACAGTGTTCCTAAGAACTTAAAAGTTGGCAACGTTAAGTTCAAAAGGGCATTTGAAGAAATATTGCAGCAGCCTTGGGGTTTGTCTGATGACTCAGGAAGGGTTGACACTGTAACACTCAGGGCAAACTGCCATGAAGCAGGAGTCTCTTTTTGAGAAAATGATCCCATTGTCACGGTCCAGTTTTCTCATCTTCATTTTCAATCTTTTTTTCAAGCACATAAAGAAGCCAGACTATGTGACGACAGGCATTATACCAGACTGGGGGGACTGCGTCGAAATTAAAGATGAAGATCAGATTCAGGGTCTTCGACAAGCCTGTCAGCTGGCTCGCCAGATCCTCCTCTTGGCTGGAAGTAGTTTAAAGGTAATGTATGTTGTTGAAAAGGTTAACTGAAAAGAACAATTTTAACAATTTTTCCTTTGTCTTCATGGCTCTTTCTCTGTTATATTTGCAGTAGTTAGAACAATTTCGTTAAATCAAAAAATCTAGTGTTTTAGTCATTCAGTTAATTTGAAGTTATTTGAAATTATTTTGAAAGGTTTCCAGTTGCAAAGGTTCACTGATAATAAAGTAATTTCTGGCAGTTTCCTAGATCAACATCAAACCTTTATTTCTTTGACTGATTATAATACAAGATTATAACTTTCTCATTATAAAGCAAGAGCACATTTTTTAAGTTTTATAAAGGATATTGGTGCCTGTTTCCTTTTCCCTTTGAAATGATAAATAGAAAATGCCAAATCAAAACTCATGTACATTTCTAAGCTTTTATTACCCTAATAATTCTTTTTCTTAATTTCTCATACCTAGTGGCATGCAAGGCAGACTAAGCACATGCTTACGTCTGTTTCCAAAGCTGGATTTTCCTGGAAGAGGTCATTGTATTGTTGCCAGAGGCTATAGCTTAAGGGGTATTACTTGTTATCAAGCATGGTTAACTGGGAGTCATCCACTCTGACTGCCATTAATAAGCCTATTGAAAGGATTTATAGGCTGATGATCAATCTTGTTGGTCACATTTGAACACACCTTTCATGGCCAACAAGTGTTGATGGCTTATGGCCCAGTGGTAGGAACCCTACCACTGCATCATAAAACCTCCTCCTCAATAATTACCAGGTCATAATTCAAATCCAAGTGGAAAATTAAATGTTGACATATTAAAATTTTCTAGCAAAGATACAACTTAAGTTCATTATTTTAGTTAGATGTTGTGTCCCAATCTCTATTGTTTAAGTAGTACTTAATTTGATATTTCAAATATCAATTATTTAAAATTATTTTCATTTGACTGCTTAGCTAAAAATGTTCAGAATGAAAGTCATAACTTCCTAGGTGGGCATGAGTTTTGATGGGGAGGGGGTGGGTGTGGTGGATAGTTGCACCATCCATACGAGAAGCAGAGTTAAATTCTAAATTTGATATTCTGAATTAATTGTATTTGGTTTCACAATACTGTGATCCAGTTGGAGTTTCATATCAATTCATTAGTGATATAATTAATGACTATTATATCATGCTGACACTCATATTACATATAATAGAGAAGATTGGATTCTTTTATTCCAATTGCTTCTGCATAATTTCAAATTGAAAGCAATATAAGTTTGCAGGTTCATATTTCTACTTTAATACACAGTACAGAGAATGATAAGCTGCTGAGTATATTCCTGTAGTGAGTAATAGCCAGCAATATTTGGCATCTTCTTTTAAGTCAGTCTACCAATGATAAAACTGACTTTAATGGGGCATAATAAAAGCTATAGCTTAAAAGATTTTAGTATTTTTCCCAACTCTGTTGGCTAATGGAAGGTGCATATTAAAGTTTGGAGTACTTATGAATAGTGGTATTTCTTTCATTCCATTATTTTCAAATTTTAGGTTGGTATGACAACTGAAGAGTTGGATTACATTGTTCATCATGAAGCAATCAGAAATAATGCGTACCCATCGCCACTGGGTTATGGAGGTTTTCCGAAGTCTGTTTGCACCTCTGTGAACAATGTAGTGTGCCATGGCATACCTGACAGGTACATGTTCATACTCATTTGTACAGATGATTAAGCTTAGAGTTCTTTTCCTCAAAGTGCTTAAGTTCTTAATGTTGTATTCCCATATACATTAAATTTTAAACAATTGGTAGATTATAGTAATTTTGGTGTACATGTCTATCATTTAAGTCTTCAAAAATCCATCTAAAAATGAGTATTGATTTATACAGTGAGGAAAATAATCTTAAATTCCAGTGCATCTTCATGACATAGCTGATATTACCTGCTTGATCTCTTGCACCTGGTTATAAGATACCATCAAATATAATGTGTTTGTGGGACGATAAATTGAGGCTGACAACAAATAAAAGTATAACATTTAATGGCTGAAAACGTGGATCAATTTAGCTTGAGTAGATGCAAGGGTTGATTTTTGGGGCCAGAAAAATGGGGCTGTCTATGCGCTGGATCAACTTATACACCATGATGTACAATATATAAAATTTCCTTTACTGGAAAAGGAAGCATGTAAATACAGGAAATTTGAAATAAAATAAAGATTGCAGAAATACAAGCATATGTTATGAGGTGGGACACCCTATATTCTCCATGACATGGCCTCTTTAACATTAGCATTAGCATTTAGTTACCACCCAAATGTTTAACTGAAATGTACGCTTAAACATTAAACTTGCATTTCACTTTTCAGGTGTTGCTGCACTGGTTATTAATATCCAGTAGTTTCTGGAATTTCTTTATTCTTTTTCTATACTTTTTTTATATTCACTCGTAGGGTGTAGCTTCTGTGGCTTGTTGGCATTTTTTGCCATCCCTGGCTGCCCTTGAGAACGTGGCTGTGAGCTGTTTTCTTGAACCACAGCAATCCATGCACTGTAGGGTGACCCACAACGCCTTTAGGGAGGGAATTCCAGGATTTTGACTCTGACAGTGAAGGAAGGGAGAATGCTTCCAAGTCAGAATAGTGAGTGGCATGGAGGGGAACCAGCAGGTGGTGGTGTTCTCATGTAGCAGCTGTCCTTAACCTTCTAGATGGAAATGTTTGTGGGTTTGGAAGGTACTAAGAATTTTCAGTGAATTTCTACCATGTGTCTTGTAGATAGTACACAATGCTGCTACTGAGCATCGGTGGTGGAGGGAGTAAATGCGTGTAGATGTGATGCCAAATGAAGGGGCTGTGATGGTGAATGAATGGTGTCAAGCTTCTTGAGTGTTGTTGGAGCTGCACTCATCCAAGCAAGTGGGCACTGTTCCATTACACTGCTGACTTATGCCTTGTAAATATTGGACAGATTCTGGGAAGTCAGGAGTGAGTTATTTGCCGCATATTAACAGTTTCTAATTTGTTCTTGTAGCCACTGTGTTTAACTGGTGAGTCCAGTTGAGTTTCTGATCAATGGTAATCCCCAGGATGTTGATAGTGGAGGATTCAATGATGGTAACATCATTGAATAGCACAGGGCAGTGGTTAGATTATGTCTTATTGCAGATGATCACTGCCTGGCATTTGTGTTGTGCGAATATTACATGCCACTTGTCAGCCCAAGCCTGGATATTGTCCAGATCTTGTTCCATTTGAACATGGACTGTTTCAATATCTGAGGCGTCACAAATGGTGCTGAACATTGTGCAATCATTAGTGAATATCCCCACTTCTGACCTAATGATGGCGGGAAGGTCATTGATGAAGCAGCTGAAGATGGTTGGGCTAGGATACTACCCTAAGGAACTCCTGCAGAGATTTCCTGGAGCTTAGGTGACTGACCTCCAGCAACCACAACCATCATCCCATTTGCCAGGTATGACCCCAACCAGCCTCGTTTCTTGTACCTCATCATCATGGTTCGCTTTGTATGAATAAGTGGCCTTGTGATTCCATTGGTCGTTTCTGAGCTGGAAATGCTGGATTCAAATCCCACTGAGGAGGTGTTGGCCATGGATGAAAAGTTCATGCTGTGGTCTAACAGATTGATAATTAATCTGCTAATCCTTACAACACACACTTTTTAGAATAGTGGGAAACGATAATGATGTTACTAAACAAACAAACTTAGTGTGAATGAACCGTAGGTCTGGTTGTAGTGTTCTCTGCACTAAGTGTGAGGGCAGGCATTTTCAGGAGTGACTAAACATCATTTCCATCAGCTATGGCTTTCAGTGGCCACCCCGTTGCCCTCATCCATATGCTCAATTGCTCCCAGATTGATGCAAATGGAGCTTACTCCCAAACTCAGGAAGCAAGGTTCCCTTGTTTCTCTGTCAAAGAGTAGCCTGAGTTCTCATTTGCTGGGAATGCAGGTTATTGGGCCCAAGGTAAGGCTGTTTAATGGCCGTTAATTGATGACTTACGGGCCTTATTGGTGGCAGGTTGCTGACAAACCTACTGCCAAGAACTTAACTGCTGGGGGGAAGGAGCAGGTACCTCACCTTTGAGCACCAGTCCGATTATTTACCCCTACAGCAAGCTACCCCATTACCTCTAAGAGGGCAAATCCAACCCATTGTCTTTATTAGGAAAGTGATGTGCTATTCAAATTGAGAGGTTGGTGACTGGCTGCAGTCTTGGGGAAAATGGTTTTGGAGGAGATGAAGCATCCAGTGACAGGGGCAAGTGGTGAAATGTGATGAAATACCCAGGAATATATTCAATCAGAGCTGGCTCTCGCGCTCTCTCCCTCTCTCTCTCTCTCTCTCTCTCTCTCTCTCTCTCTCTCTCTCTCTCTCTCTTCCCCACCCCCCTCCTCCCTTCCCACTATTCTACAAAGGGTGTGTTGTAAGGATTAGCAGATTAATTATCAATCTGTTAGACCACAACGTGAACTTTTCATCCATGGCCAACCACTCCCTTCCCCACCCCAATCTCTCCTCCTCCGCCAGAGGTTGTATGTTTTCAGTGCAATAGACACTGTATGTATCGTGAATGCAAAGTATTGATGTTAGACACAGTATCGATTAAAGGATTTTCTCCTGATTATCATTGTTTATCATATGAATATTATCATGTTCTGTTGCAATCTACCATCTTTGTGGTCTTCCATGAATTGGCGGGCGGTGTGAAATTGAGTAGAAATCGCCAACCCACCCCTATATTATAGGATTATGTCTAAAATACTGTTTCCTCTAGTGGCCTGTTTGAAACTGATTAAATCTTCACATTGATGACTTGGAAAAATATTTCAATAACCTAGTAGGAATAATGATTTGAAGCACTTCAAGACAAGGCATTCATATAAATAAAATTGCTAAAATTACCCAACTGTTTAAAACTTAATCCGTAAAGAAAATTTGTTTCTCTCACAGAAGTTAAATTGCTCTCATGCATATATCAGAGCTATCATCCTAAAATACATTGTGAACATTGTCCTCTGCTTTGGCTTTTTCACTGCTGACATAAAGTGTGAACCTTAACCATTGGAGGAACAGGCTGATAGTGGTTGCTTGATTTTTTTTTTGTTTTTTTTCCAGTTTTGAAAGCTTTAACTGAGTTTAATACATGTAAATTGAATGTTCATGTTCACTGGGGATATGTCCAATTTGAGAGGGGGAAACACACAATTATAATTTTACTCAATTTTCTGTGTTTTGTCGCCAAGCAACACAGAATAAACTTATTGATAGTTTCTGCTGTGTCAGAAATGTATTGCAATGATCTGAAAGGAACTATGAAAGATCAGTGTTTTTGAAGGACTGCTTAACTTTCTGTTAACTCCTTTCATTTCATCCGTTCTCCAATTATACTACAAGGTTCAAAAGCACAGACATAATAATGTTTAATATTTCAACACAGTGCATTTTTCATCAGTTAATTATTTTCTCAAAGCCTAATGCACACTATTGAATTAATCGATTTTTTTTTTCATTACTTGCATGAATGGTGTATTCAGGCAATTTTTCAGAACTGGAAGTCTCAATGTATGTAATATGTGTCGTCATGCTGCAGAAAAAAATGTTGCTTCAATGAATTACCAAAAAAAGTCAGCATTTGTATTGTTTCTGCATCACATGGTGTTCCCATAATTTAATATAATTATAGTCATAAATAATTGCTAGGCCAATTCTGATCTCCTGCCATTAATCTGATTACTCTGTTATGCTGATGTTTAAGAAAATTTCTCTCAGTTTCTTAATGTTTATTTTTTTAGTCGACCTCTTCAGAATGGAGACATTATCAACATTGATGTCACAGTAAGTATTTAGTTTGAAACTAATGAGGCTTTGACCAGCGTTTTGATACCCAGCAGCAACAGGAAAAACTCTGGATTGAGAATGAGAAACGTACAGATGGGCATGTAATTCGCTTCTGGTCAAGAAAGAACAGCTGCTTCCCCTTCCTCTTCCTTTTTGTTTATTTCTGTTCGAACAAGGTTTGCCTAGATTTTGGGAATGAAGTTAGATGCATTAAGATCAATGCAGAGTGATATGTCATCTCAATCTTGTTACATGTCATCCCCTTGAGAAGGTGTAATTGTTATTGATCCACTGTGTAGTTACTGCAGAGCACTACAGTGTTGGGAGGCTTCTTTGGATGAATGTGAGAGATGAGCTAATGTGCAGAAGGCTGGCATTTTTCCCTTCACTGTGCAGAGTTTGATCTTCCTCTTCCTGCTGATTCTGAGTGGGCTCTGTGATTATCATACTCTGTCATTATAGGCTTCAATGACAGCCATAGCTTGTATGTGTCAGTCTCCTAGGACAGTAATACTGTTGCTACCAGTGTCTTTCACAATTATTAAAACCTTGATTGAGGTATCCTGCTCCAAGTCTATTCCAATTAGAATTATTTGTAGATTTGACTTTACCCCATAAACAAAAAAAGTTCCAATTTTCTTAACTTGACCTTGTTACATTTGTCTTTAGCTTAGAATAAACAATTGGATGAAAATGTTAAGTCTATCCTATTAAATAACTACAACTTACCATTTTCATTTTTAGTATGCTGTAGTATTAGTCTTAAAAATTCCAATATTATCAATGCAAATGCTTTGTATCCATCTAGGTACTGCATTTTACTACAGATCATTCCCTTTGTTTCACAATTATTTATCATTTACTGTCAATGATACAAATATTTAGGATAGAGCAACTTGAGTTAAATGATCTGATGCTAAAAGCTATATTAAAAAATTTAAGATAAGTTACAAATTATAATAAATAGTCCTATACAGCATTTATAAATAGAGAGTAATTTGATACACGGGTTACTTTCATTTTTCTTATTCAGTGAAACAGTATGAAGCTTTGTATATTTCTATAAACCATTGAGAACTGACCATGAAAGCATAATTGGATCTCCTGTGAATTGGTAGGAGGGAAGAATAGGGGGCAATGTGTAGGGATGGGGGAATGACATACCTTGGATTTGCCTCGTTTGTAAATTCAAGCGTCAATCTTTGAACTGTGCCTTCTTGAAAATTATTATTTTGAGATATGGTTAAATCCATCATTGTGTTTATAAATCCTTCAGCGTTTTTGTTTAAATATTAACAGTAAATTATTTCTGCTTCATTTTTTTGGTTAAATAGGTGTATTTTAATGGATACCATGGGGACACCTCTGAAACATTCTTGGTTGGAAATGTGGATAAATCTGGGCAAAAGCTCGTTGAGGTTGCCAGAAGATGCAGAAATGAAGCAATTGCTGTTTGTAGGCCAGGAGCGCCACTGAATGTAATTGGAAATACAATCAGGTAAGTCTTGTACTGACAGTCCTGGGGGAAATCTAATGGGACAGAGGTTATTGGTGGTGTGGAATAAAGTTGATAACATGTTTTATGACATGAGGTCATCATTTTCAGTCTGATAGGAGTAGTTGAACTGCCAGACAATAATGTTATTCCCTGAGCAAGGAAGATTACCTAAAGTGACTCAGTCTGTATAGCGAGAGTAGGAGGTGTATAAGATACCTTGCACTTACCTACTGTTTAGTTTTCAGTACTTGTTTGTATATATTTTACGTTTCTCCACTTTACACCAAAAATCTCTGTAGAGACATCTGAGTATTTTGTTAACTCAAATAAAACCCATAAAATGTATCATCTTTGAACATTACATTCTTATCAGTTAATGAAGAGTAGCTAAAGTCATGAATTTTTTTTATTAGTCTGATCGTTATAACCCTAAAACACGACAAAATTTACAGCAACATCAGTCACATTAATTTGATTTTCATTCCATCCAAAAACAGTATGATTTGGAATTTCATGCTTTTATAGATAAATGTCTTGTATGGATTTTTGTAGCATAGAGTGAGTATGTGTGTTGTTACTGTTAGTAAAATTTAATCTGCCACAGCATCTGCTAGATCAAACCGCTCCTGAGAGTGGAAAATTTAGTCAATATAAAAGTACACTCAGATAGAATAGAAATTAAATGCAAATGCAGCTTCATTTTACAGCTTGGAAGAGTTAAAAGATAAAGCTACTTAGTTTCTTAGAACTCCCAGGGTTTAATGCATCTGCTGGTGGTGTTCTTACATTATATCTAACAAAATTTGTTCAATGATAAAGGAAAAGAAAGCTCCAGAATTCTTATTCAAGCATTCTATCGAGCTCTGCATTCATGACTGTGTCTAAAGGGCATGTCAGTCTTTTGATTCACTTTGAGAGGTAATTATCCTTTTCCTGTCACGGAACAACAAATGATAGCTAACTGAGGCACATTTGCAGTAGTTGCATTCATCAATTGCTTAAAAAAAATTGAATTTAATTGTGTAACACAGCTGCATGTCAGCTTTTATCACATCTCTGTTGTACTGTGTCTGGTTCTCCTTTCCTCTGTATATCTATTTTCTTGTTCCATCTTGTTTTTCTCTCTACACCCGCTGTCCCCCTCCTTCCCTCTTCATCCCCCCTCTCCCTACTTTCCTGTTAAAGTAATTTTCCTTTGTGAGTCTCATTCTTGATCAAGTAAGGGTCCATGAATGGGCTAAATTATCACAATTACTCATATAATTGAACCTCCTTTGTACCAAGTGCAACTCCAGTAGCCTTTTATCCATCATGAAACTGCTTTCATTATATGGTTTTT